GTAATTTTTTTAACTCTGTAGCTTTATTACATTTTCAGAAAAGGTACATCGAGTCTCAAAAAAACTCATTTTGAGATACGAGGCAAAATGTCTAATTTTTCATTAAAAAAATTTATTAAAACTTTCAATCATATGTTTCATATTATTTTTCTTGTTTTTACACATATATACACTTAATTACTTAGATTAACATATATTAAGCTAGTAACATTATGGTTTTAAGACCTAAAAATGTGTGGAACATAAATGAATCTTTTTCGAAAAATACTCATATTCGAAGAATTCTTATTACAAAAATTGATAAAATGTAATTTAAAAAGAGAGATACATTAATATTGTTATTTATAAATCAAACAATAATAAAAAAACATTAATAAAAGAAAATGCAGCAATTAATCACTTTCAAAACATTATTAAAATTAATATCCGCCTGGACAATAGTTGTCACACGACTCTTCCTCTTCTATATTATTGTTACGTTTCTGTACCCTTCTTTCTTTTGTCGAATCTTCACAGTCTCGTTCGGCATTTCTTATTCGCTCCTTATCAATAGACTGCATTGCAATAACACAATATTGCCCTGGTGGAAGGTTCAGTTTTTGCAATACCTGACACCGCACTATATTGCCTTCGTTAAAAACACTCACTGCTTCAAACACACCAAACTGTAACGTATCAATGTGCACGACTACATTTTTAGGTATGCGTGACCAGATAACATTATTCAGAGATTCATTGGGATTTTGTGTCTTCCCATGGAGGCACTTTTTCAACAAGTCAGGGTGGGCTAAATCTCTGAAAATTGGTCTGATAGTTTCCATAACAGCTGCCGGCAAACTATTCTTGTGTTCATAAGACATACCAGAAACCAAAGCTTTCTGGTACCCACACCAAGATTCCGTTCCAGAAGGGCACAACCCATGTTGTGGCTTCTCATCTGTCGAATATTTATGGTAAAATATAGCCCACACTGCTTGACGCATGTGATCTAAATTTCCAACATTTCGCCGGATGGCTAATCCATAATAAGTTTGTAGCTTATCAATTTGTGAATCAGTAAGGCGACCTCTTCCACCAAGTACTTTCTTATCACTAAGCTTTTCACCTTTCATCTTTTTCACCAGGCGACGAAGGCGACATCCCATTCTTTTTTGTACATGCCCAATGCACTCTAACTTTTCTACTGGATATTGATCCCCATATACATTTTCTTTTTCAATATTTGAAAATGCCTTTGAGTCTCCGTCACCCAAGTACTTCAGATATTTTAGCGAATGAAATTGCTCGCTGCGTTTAAATATGGCTAAAGCCCCATCCACTTCCATCTTACCACTGTTTCCCTCAAAGTTCATTTTGCAGGTGTCACTGTGATTTTTTTTATCGGAACAGACACAATGTTTTGAGAGCACCTCAACATCAATCACTTTACCCGTGTCAACACTTGTAGCAGACACAACTCCATTTTTTGATGAATAGCCGCTTCTCTTTTGCCATGTTCCATCAATTGCAACAGCAATGTTATGGCAGTCATTCTCCTCAGAGTTTTCAGATATTAATTCTTCCGCTGCTCGTCTCATTGTATCTGCACAAACATCTGAAACTACTAATTTCAGCATCATATTATATTTCGCAAATTTTGTGGGAGGTGGTGGNGAGGTGGTGGAAGGTTCATTAGTCCACAAAATACTTGGGCTGCAGAAGCACCTTTACCTATAGCTCTAAGGCTATACACAAGCCTGGTATTAAGGGCATAAAAAGTCTCTTCGTTAACACTTTTATGAACAGAAGAATTGTGAAAGTTATGCAAGAAAGAACAGTTTTCACAAAACATTTGCAATTTCACAGCCAGCCCACACTCTTTACCAACAAGATTTATTTTGACTGATTTATGTCCGCAGTCCTTGCACGCAACATTTTCAAATGCTGCTGACAATAAATCAAGTTCTATTATTATATTTCTTGATGTTTGCTCATCCTTCAAATTTTCGAACAAATCACAGCTACTTATCTTACGGCTAGAAGTAGAATTGTCTAATGAAATTTCATCAACATGGTTGCACTGCACTTTTGATTTTCTTCCAGCAAAATTAAAAGCCTTACGCTTTTTAAAAACATTTCCAGTTCGACCCATGGCAAAAAAACAATCAAAACACACGCTTCAAAATATCAACAAAAACAAATAAAAAGGTAACTATTTGAACAAAAACAAAGAGATTTTTAAACGTAATAAAAATAATAAAGATGAAACAAAACAAAATTAATATAATAGTAACAAAAAAATAATTAAAATTAACAAATGATTCTAAAAATATCAATACAGCACGTTCGCTTCGCAATATTTCTAAAAGATAAACAGAGTTTATGAATTGAAAGTTAAAGTATAGAATTCTCAAACT